AAGAAGGTTTCCGATGCCAGCACTGACACGGCTGCTGGTGACGGTTGGTTCAAGATCTTCGACCACGGCTACGACTCATCCACCGACCGCTGGTGCACCGATGAGATCATTGACAACAACGGTCTCTTGTCCGTGAACCTCCCCAAGGGCCTTGAGGGCGGTGACTACCTTGCTCGTCCAGAGATCCTTGCTCTCCACGCCGCAAAGGACGGAGACCCACAGTTCTACACTGGCTGCGCCCAGATCTTCGTTGAGAGCAGCGGAAACCTCGTTCCCGAAAGCACTGTTTCCATCCCTGGCTACGTCAAGTACAACGAGCCATCCACCGACTTCGACATCTACAACAAGGATGCCAAGGACTACGTTATCCCCGGCCCCAAGGTCGCCAAGCTCACAGCCGGCGGCATGAAGAAGGCTTCGACCGTGCAAACTGCGGGCCTGAAGCCCGAAGGCTGCATCATGGAGAACGCCAACTGGTGCGGCAAGGAGGTTTCCTCGTACAGCACCGAGAAGGGCTGCTGGGCTTCCGCTACCGAGTGCTGGGACCAAGCCGATGTCTGCTACGACGAGGCCCCCGCAACCGGTAACGCAGGCTGCAAGCTCTGGCAGGAGAAGTGCAAGGACATCAACGCACAGTGCACGGCTATGAACTTCAACGGTCCTCCCAACAAGGGCAAGATCCTTACTCCCGAAAAGAAGAGCATCGATGTTGGCAAGATCATGGCTGTTAATGGTGGTGGTATCGTGGATGCGCCTGCACCCAAGACCAGCTCCACCAAACAGTACGAGGCACCTGCGAAGGCATCCCCCAAGCCTGCAGCTGACAAGGCCACCCCTGCTGCGCCCAAGCCTACGGTCGATGAGTCGTACGAGAGCCCTCCCATTGTTGAGCAGCCCGTTGCTGCTGCTCCCAAGCCTACGCAGCAGCCTACGACGCTTTCCAAGGCACCCGTCTCCACCATCACTGTTGCCCCTTCGTCCGCAAACGCGCCTGCGCCTACCCAGCCGTCGTGCCCTGAGGGATACAAGTGTGTGTATGTCACGGATGTCGAGGTTGTCACTGAGACTGTCTATGTGACTGCTACATACGATGGGTACAGGAGGAGGCACATCATGTACCGCGCTTAGATGTACGGTACTGAGACGTGTTATGTGGAGTTAGAGGGAAAAGGACAAAACGATTACTTTCTGCGACGACGATCGCGAGCTGATAAGCTCTGTTTGGGATGAGGGTTGCTTTTTAGCTACGAATGATAAATGTTCGCTTGTCGCAAACCTGAGATCTCAATGCGTGCCTATTTCTCTCCTTCGATTGTCCGCATCTTGACGCTTCCGTCCTCCATGCCGAAGTATACAGCGACAGGCTTTTGACCGCCTCGTACGGTCTTGGTCAACTGATCCTGCTCGCGAAGTTCCTGTGCATCGATTCCGTTCAGACCGGAGAAGATGCCGACTTCCAATACACCAGTCAAGCCCTTGATCGCCTTGCTTATCGTGTTGACCTCCCATGTGCCATCTGTTCCATCGCCCTTGCCCTTGCCAGCTGCAACATCCGCCGAAGTGAGCAAGGCAGGGAACGGCGCATCGATAATGTAAAAGTCCTGGTCTGTCTTCAGGGGCCCCGACTTCTCCAGTAGCGTAGTCCTTAGCTTAGGACCCGTTGAACCAAGCATTTTAAGCGCAGCAGCGACCTTGAGCTGAGACAGCGGCGCAACCTCAATCGGTATCGTCGGCCAGTTCGTCAGCAGGCGCTCTTGTCTCTTGCGGTAGTCTGCGACGCAGACGAACTTTTTCGCGCGCTCGGCGACTAGCTTCTCCTGGAACAGACATGCACCTCCTCCTTTTATACAGTTGAGTTCTGCGTCGACCTCGTCGGCTCCGTCGAAAGCGACATCGAGCATTACGCGATCAGGAAGACTGTCGAAGGAGATGGCGGTCAGGCCGGCGTTGACTACGAGTTGGCGCGATTGGAAACCTGTGGGCACGAAGAGGATGTTCGGGTTCGTGGAGCGCTCCTTGATGGCCTCGACGACATAGACGATGGTTGTTCCCGAACCAATTCCAACGTGGGTGGCTGCTGGGTCGAAGTGGTCTGCTACTGCTTGGTGCGCAGCAGCGCGCTTTGCGGCTTCAACAGTCGTGTCGGTCATACTGTTTGCGTGTCCGAGGACTCCCGTGGAATGGAAAGTCCGGTATGAAGGATGGTGATGGTGAATTGATGTTGCAGAAGGAGATTTGCCGGTGGTCCAGGTGCTGGCTCGGTGTACAAGAGATCTAGAATTTGACAGTGGTCGGAGGGGCAGTCGAGACTTGAGATGACTGATGCTGCGCACTTGCTGATTTATATTGGCGGGCCAGACGTGATTCGGCTTCAGCGGCATGAACTAGAATATGAATCTTTCTAGTGACGCTAAAGTCGGTGAATTGGAGAGACGACAGTGAGGCGCGATAAGATGGCGGCATGAATGATTTTCCCGTGACGAGACGACTGAGCTGCTGCCAAAATGACGATTTGAGCCCCACCAGGACCCCGCGACAGGGATGTGCCCTTAGCGCGCGGGCTGGCAGCGCGTTTGGTGCCTGGCAGCTTGAGCTTCCCAAGCTGTCGTACCAACATCTCACGCCCTCACCGTCAACTCTCCCAAAATCGCCATAATGGAGGATCTCCCACCCCCAGTGCAGGGCCCGACCGCGAAGGAGAAGAAGTATGTTTACTGCAAACACTTCTATCAATACTAACAAGAGCAGGTACGACCGTCAACTACGCCTCTGGGGAGCCACCGGCCAAATCGCACTCGAGAACTCACATATCCTCCTCATAAACTCTGGGCCGGGAGTCGTTGGTGTAGAGACGCTCAAAAACCTCGTTCTGCCTTGCATCGGCAACTTCACGATCCAAGACTCGGCCATCGTCAGCGAAGCAGATCTAGGTGTCAACTTCTTCCTGGAGGACCAGCATTTAGGAGGCTACCGGGCTGAACATACGTGCAATCTGCTCAAAGAGCTGAACCCAGATGTGGACGGCCATTTCATCACAGAGGTTGGTCAAAAGACGTCTTGTCGCGTGCTCCGCTAATCGGATCAGCCTCTAGAGTCATGGCTGGCGCAACCTGACGCTCTGCGACCATATACCCTCATCATCGCGACCGCGCCTATCCGTCCCGAAATCCTCGCCAAGCTCTCCGATCACGCAAGCGCTGCGCTCATTCCGCTATTCTACGTCCATTCAGTCGGCTTCTACGCACACTTCTCCGTACACCTACCTCCAGCGTTCCCCATCGTGGACACACATCCTAGCCCAGAGACCACGTCAGATCTCCGGCTGTTACGGCCATGGCCAGAGCTTGTCCAATACGCGGAGGAGAAGACGGCCGATCTGGACAACATGAAGGCAGAAGATCACGGTCATGTCCCATGGATAGCACTGCTGCTGCACTTCCTCGAGCGTTGGAAGAAGGACCACGGTGGAGAGGTGCCACAGACGTACAAGGAGAAGACAGAGTTCAGGACATCAGTAGCGCAGGCTGCGCGCACAAACAACCCAGAAGGTGGCGAAGAGAACTTTGACGAAGCAGTGGCGGCAGTTCTCAAGTCATTGAACCCACCACAAGCTAGCAGTTCCGTCAAAGAGATCTTCACGGCGCCGGAATGTCTTCTGGTCCGCGAGGACTCACCAAGCTTCTGGGTCATCGCCAATGCTATCGGCCTGTTCTACACCAAGTACAACGTTCTCCCGGTACCCGGCTCTGTGCCCGATATGAAGGCGCGGTCAGCAGACTATATCCAGCTGCAGAATGTATACAAGTCGAAAGCACGAAAGGACCTGGCGGAGGTGGTGGATAGCGTGCGGTTCCTGGAGCGGAATGCTGGCCGTAGCACGCCGATTGACGAGAAGGACATCGAGACTTTCTGCAAGAATGCTGCACATATCAAACTAGTGCGCGGACGGCCGTTCCACGTTGTGCAAGCAGGCGAGAAGATCAAGTGGGGAGACCGTGCGAAGTCGATCGGTAAGGAAACCCATCTCAACATTTATTACCTCAACTAACGTCCTGTAGCTCAGCTCCTCACATTCCCCGACTCGCAGATCCCGCTGTACATTGCATTCCTAGCATGGGACGAGTTCCTTGCAACACACGATCAAGATGGTCTGGGCGGAGCACCCCGCGTTGCTGGAGAGAGCGATGTTGAAACCGACTCAGAGAAGCTCACTGGGATCGCCTTCAAGATTGCGAACGATCTTGTCAAAGAGGCAAACGCTGACATCGAGGAGGACGAGTACGCGACAATCAAATCACAAATTGGAGAATACACCCGCGAGCTGTAAGTACACACCGGCCCTGAACTTGGAATGAGACAGCTTTCCTACGAAAGCCTCATCGTGGCATTTCAGCAGTAAACAGTCGACTGACCAGACTACAGTACACGAGCTGGTGGCGCTGAACTCCACAACATTGGTGCCCTGACTGGTGGTATTGTTTCGCAGGAGATAATCAAGGCTATCACCGAACAATACGTTCCAGTTGATAACACCTGTGTATTCGATGGAATCAAGAGCAAAAGCACCGTTTTCAAGGTCTAAGAGATGTGGTTATGGACTTGAGGTTGGTCAGGAATATCTTCTGGATGATAAGAGTCCAATTTCGCCTATCAGAAAGGACGGCTGGGCATAGCATTGCAGATGAGGCGAGTTACAGCATGAGATGAGATGAGTTCGCATAGCGTGGCGTTCATACCTCGCCTTTACCACGTGAAGCTGGCCAATGTAGAATATAAGACTCCTCATACCAAACGGGGCGCAGCAAACAGGTCAAATGTCAACAAGGATTGATGACGGTTTTGTCCATGTAGGAGTGCGCAGAGTGAAAGTGAAGGTACACCTAGCGCATCTGACGCTCTGTCGGAATTTGGAGCAAGCACGAACAAGGCTGCATGATCCACTCTGTACCTTTTTGCTCATCTAAGTCCTTCAACTGAGACCTGCACAGTATTTCGCAGATATGGCCAGAATACGCAAAGTAACTTCCAAGCAACCTAGTTTGGGGACCTCTGCCATGTCCCAATCGCGGCCCATTCCGGGCGATGACAAAGCAGCAAGATCTCCAGCGCGGTCACGTGGTCGACGTGACGCGATCGAAGCCGACGCGCCGGACCCCAGCCAAACAAATCCAACTGTCAACCCTCTGTCATCCCAAATTCTCCCTGTCTGCGAACGACCCATGGACTCTTCCTTCGACCTCCCCGACTCCACCGATTGGATAAAGACGTCCCTACCCGCGTTCGAACCGCTCGAAGTTGCCTTGCGCTGCGAAGTCTGCAAGGAGTTCTACAACAACCCTGTCATCACGCCGTGTAGCCATACCTTCTGTTCGATATGCATACGAAGATGCATCACGGCGGACGGCAAGTGTCCGAGCTGCAAGACTGGGTGCTCGAGCGACAAACTGGCGCCCAACATTGCGATCAGAGAAGTCGTGATGCGCTTTCAAGAGGCGAGACCCAAGGCCATGGAGTTGGCGCGCGCAGACAAGGAAGAGGAGACCACGAAGGCTAGCAAGAAGAAGCGGAAGCTGGAAGACACAGATATGGAAGACGAGGACAACGTCAGGCATACACGATCGCGGCAGACGCGAACTAGGAGCCAGCGCAACGGAGGCAGAGCTGGGTCGCCAATGGTCGTCGCCGATAGCGAAGACGACGGTGACGACGATTTCATGCCAGATGGCATGGTCAAGTGTCCGATGTGCAGCAAGCCAATGAAGGAAGAGCTGGTCTACAACCATCTGGACATATGCACTGGGCCAGAAAACTCGCAAGGGCGTAGCACCCGGTCAAGGTACGCAGATATATGACAGCACATCTAGGTCAGCTGGCTAACGACACCCACTTGTAGGACTAAGACTGCGTTCCCACCCGCTTTCCAAATACGAAAGAAAGACCCCTCGCCTCCACCGACGAGATTATCCCAGCTCAACTATGCTATGCTCACGGAGACTAAGTTGCGGAAGAAACTGCAAGAAATCGGCATACCTACCTGGGGTTCAAAAGACCTGATGAGGCGGCGGCATGTCGAATGGCTCAATATCTACAATTCGAATTGCGACGCCGACGAAAGTGTGCGGAAGAGCAAGAGGCAGTTACTGAGAGAGTTAGACGAATGGGAACAGACACTAGGTGGAAGAGCGGGCACCAAAGAGAACAAAATCATGAAGAAAGACTTTGACGGTGACGGGTACGCGAAGACACACAAAACCGAGTTTGACGACTTAATAGCACGAGCGCGACAGAAGCGTGCCACACCCAAGACGGATAGCGAAGGACCAACGGAGCGGAACACGCCCTCGGAGGAGCAACATGCAGAATCACAGAATCGCCAATCATTGCCAGTCAATGATACCGAAACTCCCTCCCACGGTCCATCGTCGGCGCAAAGACCCTCAGATTCACATCCACATCCCTCGAACAATCCTAACCCTCACGAAATGAACGGCACAGTCGCAAGTATACACTCAAAAGCTGAGGAGGCCAACAACATACCCGACAGAGTATCTGCATCAACGCTCGAGCATCCAGTGGAAAGTGCAACACGGCGTGGGTCAGCGGCTATGGAGGGGATACAAAACTCTTTAGGAAGTCCCAGTCGCAAGATGTCCCTGCTTGCACTTCCTGAAGAGCCGGTCAGAGATGTGGAGGGAGGCACGGCTGTGTAATAATAGGTAGTTGCGATGTTTGGCAACGAAGCTTTGGCAAGTCCAGCGGTTGAAAAGGCTCTCTTCACTTCGAACCCAGTCATCACTTTCACACGTCCAATTCACTCGCACGTCATTCTTCCCCTTAACATCTTGATATACGTTACCGTGGCGCTCGCTATCTCTCTATCTTTACGTCACATGTTACAACCCACCGATCGTTAAAGATAGCGATACCTCAAGCGGTGAATCATCGTGATCGAACGGTATCATTCGGAAACGACTCGTATTTCAACTCATTAATTACAATGCAAACATCCAGCACAGGTTATCCTCTGCTTGGACCACGCCTCGCTCCACGAAACCGCACAAATATCAATGCAATGGGACCACGAGAAAGACGAGCCGAGTACATGGCGGCGCGCAGAGCAACTCCAAACCCGGGCCAGCACGCCTACAATGACCCTGGATATGTCAGTCCAACTCCCCCTCGCGGCTCCAGACGCACCAGCCTCCCGTCATCCACACCAGGACGAGGATCCACATCACCGGGAGCCCCATATGCCCGATACAGGGGAGAAGACAACCTGCCCAACGATGTCTTACCATGGGTTCTCGATCCACCCAGAGGAAGGAGAACGCCTACACTGAGAAGAGCGCCGAACATACAATGGGATCGTTCGGGAGGACTCCGCACAGTGCCGAGTTTCACTTCGACGGGAGGGTCTGCCTCGGAAGATGATGCCGGTGTTGATGGCCGGGATAGAGATGGACAGCCAGAAAGCAGCGGAGCGGCAGCGTCTCGCCCACGCTCTCACAATATTTATCCCCGACAACCCCAGAGAGGGCTAAACGGTAAGACTACTCACATGCCATACGACTACATCCTACTGATCAGTGGTACAAATAGTTCCTCCACTGCATGAAGACGACTCGACTCGCCCACGCTCTTCAAATCCAACGCTTGTCTCCCAACTCGAAAGAGGCGAGCTACATGAACAGCTACGAGATTGTAAGACTGCCACCATCACCCTACATTTATAATCTTGACTAATCAACAATACATATAGTCCCTCAGCCTCCTCAAAACAACACCCAACTCCGCTCGCGATCCCCACCCAACCCCCCGCCCCGCGTCTCACTCGACTCAGAAACCATAAACCCACTCCAAGATTTTCGACCCCATGCTTTGAGTCCCATAGAAGAACAGGTTGGCAGGAAGCCAGTCCCTTCCCAAAACGTCCCAGACCTAGTCAAATCGCGCCGATACCGAAATCGCCGACATGCCACAGATTCACCACCGACACCCCCGGAACCAGGCTCCCCACGACCTCGTCCCCGTGGCAGACATTACCTACCCGATGAATACGATGGTGATAATGCCTCGCTGCGCGAAGCAGAGGCCTTGAGTGTCCAGCATGTGACGCACGAAGAAGTGCAAAGGAGCGAAAGGACTATCGGACCGCCCCCAAGTCGTGACAACAGACCAGAGGCTGGGCTTACCGAGGGCGATCCCATGCTGGAAAGACTTTGGCGAGAATGGGAAGAGGATTGTGATGAGATTGCTCGACGTGTACTGAAGAGACACAAGGAGAAACATTCGTTGAAAGGGAAGGCGAAGAGGTGTTGGCGCAAGGTCAAGAAGTTCCTTGGGAAGCGCATAAGGGGTGAAGAGATGTGGGTGTAGGGCATGTGATACAAATGTGTCTATTAGTTCATTTCTAGTTGCCGACGCCGTTGTAGCGCCTGGAATATCAATGCTGATCGATCGTGCTAGTCTATCCTATATCTGACAAAAAGTGATTCATCTACACATTGCATTCGCTAAAAGACATGATAATACCATCTCCACACTGGCCTATTGATACCAACTCTGCTCATCATAAGTAAACCCTTGCATGCCCATACCATTAAATCCAGCTACACCGAACCCATTCAAACTTGGGGCCGGAGCAGCATTCGTATTCCCGTTCGTATACCCATTGACTCCATTGGCCCCATTGCCACCCACAGGCCCCCCACTCATCTCACTGCTCATAACAGGCGCATTGGTGTTGCCCTGAAACGCGCCCGCTGGACTAGTGGTGTTCGCAAACCAATTCGCGATATCGTCGATTCCCTGAGGGTTCCAGTTCTCAAAGTCGGTCGCGAGCTGTGTCTGATCGCGATAGATCCAGTCTTGGCCCTCTCGTAGTAATTGGTCGACGCCGCCAAAGAGCTGGCTTGGAGAGCTGCCAGCGGTGGTTTGACCGTCAACGGAACGTCGACCTTGTGTGGACGCCGGTGTTGGTGCGTTGAGAGAGTTTGATGAGTTTTGTGGTGTGCTGACCTGGTGCTGATTGCGCATGTAAGCCAAGGCGTTTGCGTCGGAAGGAGGTATGGTGTGGGTGCTGGAGGGGCGCGTGGAAGGATCATTGCTTACGGAACTGGAAGTGTTGGCTGTTGCTTGGGCAAAGAACTGGGGTGTTGCCATGTTGGCCATGTTCATGCTGTATGGCTGGAGGCTTGGTGATGTCTGGCTCGCAGGCGACGGATGCTGATCTCTCATCTGTACGGATCCACGGCGAATTGCTTTCGGCGTGCTGATCTCGTTCCAGGGGCCATACTTGGTATCTGTGCGGGACAGCACTGTCGCAGCTTCTTCGGGCAGATCGACTTTCCAGCGTTTGGCCAGGACGCTGAGAATGCCGAGCGTCCGACGAGCACAGAGCCAGCCTTCCGCTATCTCCTCGAGATGCTTGACACCGTGTATTATATCGCGCTTCGCATTCTTCTCTGGTAGATTGAGAAGATGTATGGTGCATGCCGAGTGCGTGATGTAGACACAGATGTTGCATATCTGGCGCAAACCATGCGATCGCTTGTATAGTCGGAGCAACTTCGAGATCATGGCAGCAGCTTGTGTGCATAGCTTCCTCGGCGATACACTTGCGGGCAGTGGCGAGTTGTTCGGATTGTACTTGAGGAATGGTCGGAATAGATGAATATACAACAGTTGAAAGAACATACTGCGACCGAGTTAGTACGAGCGAGTTACATGATTAGAAAGGCGAACTTACTGCATGACCAGCATGTGCGGCAATCCGCCCTCCTTCGGCTCCAACTCCTTTGGTAAGTCTCTTCTCCAAGTCTCCAAACGCATGTGTATCTCGCTCAGCTTCTTCAGCTCCGCCTGTCTGCCCTTGACCTTGTCCATATCGATCGGGTTGTAGAAGGAGTTCATGAGGTCGCTGGAGATCTCACAAAGCTTGGATATCTGAAGAGCGACTGCACGCGTCCGACTTGGCTGGGAGTGTGCTTGACTGAGACCGGAGTCGGTGACTGCGCTCCACGTTTCTGCATCCTCGCTGGGAAAGACTTCGAACTTCGGCACTGTAAGGATCGTGTTGGGTAGTTGCGGCAATCGTCCCATGTAATTGCTCCAGCATTTGTCGAACAAGAAGCAGCCCCAGAAAGTGATCCGCCGCGCGTCCTCTTCGTTGTCATCGATGGTGTCTTTGCTGTGCATACCGAGGTTCAGGCCGAGGTCGCAGGCCATGCGAAACGACATGCCACTGTAGACCCAACCCTTTGCTTCCCGCCCGCAACCTGCTTCCCGTACAGACATCAACGCTAGAGCTTGTACAGTCGTCAGAGCCGGCATCTCGTGCAAGTCGTCCTCCATGATCAACCGCTTGGCCTCCTTGAAGAAGTGGTCGCCTGCCGTGGCAGAGTCGTCGCGGACAGCCCGGGCTGCAGGCCACGATGTGAAGTGACAACCCAGCGCTAGCATAGCATTGACTAGTAACGGCGAACAGTATTGTGATTTCCTCCCGGATCCCAGCTGCGGTTTTCCTTGTTGAAACTCTTGCAGGAAGAGATTCTTGGATAGCGTTGTAAAGAAGCTGTAGTGCCAGCAGAAGTACATGCTGATCAGATGCTGCACAAGCTCCGGGTCCGAAGTGACAGTCGTCCACGAGCAGAACGGGTCCTGCGCCTCCTGGTACTGGTCTTCAGAGTACGTGTCCGGCGATTCCGCGGAGTCGTTGCCTTGGCCCAGGTATATGAGATGCGATGTGCCGCCAATGTATCTGGTGGACCCGTCTTCAAGGCGCAGCTCGCCCATCTTCCCGCTCAGCTGACTCTCGAATGTGCCCTTGGCCGGCGCCATGGTAGGCGTTGTGATCGGACTGATGGGCTCATCCTCGTCATCTTCGCCATTCTCCTTCGCTATGATAGCCTCTGCAACCGAGTCCAAGCTCTCGCATGTCCGTATCTGGTGTACGAGGTCGGCGACTTCCTCTTCCGGATAGTTCAGGATAGCCTGGATAAGCGTCTGGAGGGTGGAATTGCGCGTCTTGAGGTTGTCGATGTCCTTCTTGTAGACGCCTTTGCGGCGGTGGTCCGAATTCGGGTCGTAGATGCACGGCGTGTTGTAGACGGCGGCACATGCAGAGCAGGCGGGAGTGGTACCGTCGCACTATGCGGCAGATTAGCGACTACTCTCGCACAGGGCGCGTGGTTCCGAGGGGGTTGGTGATCATCCGGAGAATGTGTGTATACGCCGGAGAAAGGGCATCAGGGCCAGTTCCCGTTACCTAACATACCTTGGACTTGCGCTTCCTGCATGGCACGCAGGCGGACGAGATGCAGCGGCGCTTCTTAGAGTCCTCGCTTCCGGCATCCCTCTTGCTGCGGCGTCCCTTCTTGTTGGGCGTGTCAGAGGGCGGTTGCGCGTCCGCAGTGGTGTTGTTCTCCATTACAGGTCTTGTCGGTTTACCGGAGAAGCAAATTGTGGGGGAATGGCGGGGCGCGCTTTGACGGGCCTCTTCTCACGCGACATTAATCAGCTTGCAGTGGATATGGCAGGCTGTCGTGGTCCGGGGCTCTATCTCGCGGGCTCAACATGGCTGGCCAAGGACAGGGAAGCGGGCGCAATCACGTCGGAATCGGCGTCGCATTGGGCTGGTGATGAGGGCCTACGCGACCGAGCTGCGTCGCTGAGGTACCTCGCTATCAGCGGCCGCCTGATTGGCTGGCTC